CATGCGCATTTGCATAAATGTCTACACACACACATACACACTACACACAATAAAAAACATAGGAAATAGCAAGAGTGATTACAATAGTTCCTATTGCATTACATGCATAGGAACTAAAAATTGGGGGTTACTTTTCATCCTATGGAGCTATAACTGATTAAAAATATTCATGGTTTTATGCATATATAAATGTTGACGCACGCGTACGCGCACGTTAAGTCGCGCGAACGGAAAATTAAGATACCTGACATTCAACCTTGACCTGAAGATTATGCTCACTTAATATGATTCAGAAATGACGAATGGTTAAGATGATATGGGCTCATCAACTTTTTGATGAAAGAATGATGTGGGGGTCAGAAAAAACAATTTTTTTGACCATGATGACGTCATCAAAATGTAACTAGATTTGAACTCGTCACTGAGGACGAGTTAGGTGATCCACCGTACTTTGACCCTTATAAAGCTCACGCGGTGCTGATTGAAAATTGTCATAATATGCTAAAATATGCTGTAATTAGTTTTTTTAAAAAGAATAATTTTGAGCATTTTGAAAAATTTCCGCATGCGTACACGTACGTCTTGATGCCCGTGAGCACAGTAATAGCACAAAAAGTGACTCCTGATTTGAATAATGTGTCAGGAACACAAAGTATGTAACAAACATGATTTCCAGCTTCAGTACGTGTTGCGTGCGTGGAAAAGAAAGTATGGCGCGTAAATATGAAAAGTTTTGGAACGCTGAAAATGACCCGAAACGTTCTTTAAACTATCTGAATAGTGATATGGAGAATTTTCAAATTTTAACAGACGCGAACGTCACGATGTGTGCGTGTACAGTAATGGCACACGAAATTAAACATTGTCAAGTGTTTTTAAAGCCGCCTGTTAGTTGGTAATGCCACACGAATTTTCTCTTCATATAACCTATATATATATAAGTCTGATAGCGTCGAAATACAGTCTACCGCCCTCTCTATGTTCTATCTCTTTACATCTTTTAAGAATAAGAGATAAAAGGGCTCCTAAAATTAATTCTTTTTGACCATACAGACGTGATGAAAATGAGACACGTCTTCAAGAGAATTGATTTAGCTATAACATACTCACAGGTGGGAGACAATCAATCAAGATAAGCGAGTATGTTTAAACGAGTATAAAAAGTAATAACGTCAGTTTTTTCTTAATTTAAATGGCAATATGATGACGTCACAATGTCCGATCAGCCATTATGATCTATAAAATCGTATCTACAACTCATGTGCTCTCAGAATATGAAATAAATATTGGGAGTCACTTTCCATCCTAAGGAGCTATATTTGAATAGCTCCGAAATACAGTCTGCCGCCCTCTGTCATCAGTCAGTGATTTTTTTCACAAATTTGAAAAAAGAGAGATGACAGGGCTCCAAAAACTGATTCTTTTTGACCATGATGACATCGTCAAAGTAAAAAATAAAGGGACATGTCCAAAAGAGATTTGTTTCAGCTATAACATACAGGTGAGGGACAATCAATCAAGAATAAATGAGATACGTTCAAACGAGTATATGTAAAGACGACATAATATAATATTCAGTTTTTTCTTAATTCAAATGGCAATATTATGACGTCACAATGTCCGAACAGCCATTATGATCTATAAAATCGTATCTACAACTCATGTGCTCTCAGAATATGTAATAAAAATTGGGGGTCACCTTTCATCCTAAGGAGTTATATTTGATTATAAATAGGCATAATTATAAGCATATGTAATTTTTGACGCACGCGTATGCGCACTTTAAGACGCGCAAACAAAAAAGTAAGATACCTAACATTCAACTTTGACCTGAAGTATAAGCCCATTTAATATTATTCAGAAATGACGAATGGTTAAGATGACTTAACGTCATCAACGTTTTGAGAAAGGAAATATATATATTTTAAAAAAAAATCAAATGGCAATATGATGACGTCACAATGTCCGATCAGCCATTATGATCTATAAAATCGTATCTACAACTCATGTGCTCTTAGAATATGTAATGAAAATTGGGGGTCACCTTTAATCCTAAGGAGCTATGTTTGATGATAAATAGGCATAATTATAAGCATAAGTAATATTTGACGCACGCGTACGCGCACCTTAAGACGCGCAAACAAAAAAGTAAGATACCTAACATTCAACCTTGACCTGAAGTATAAACCCATTTAATATTATTCAGAAATGACAAATGGTTAA